TTAATCTATTTCTTATGTCCTCTGAGAATGTTTATCAATCCATCTCTTCCTTTCTGATAATCTTTCTATAGAACCTTAGGTGGATGGGCCCTGTATTTCCTTAATATTGTGTGAATTTTTATTCAGGTAATTTCCATATCTATTATGGTCCATTTTACATGTCCAAAAATATGAATTAAGATTGGTATTTTATAAGTGGTGATTACTTTAAATGGGTTCTTTCCACTGAGATTTTAAAAAGTCATAGGTGTAGAACTGAATCTAAGGCTTAGTATTAGTGTTAATCAACAAAGTATTCAATACAAATATTATAGTACTTTTGGGCAGCTTATTCAATAATGATCAAATCAATAAAAGGTTATTTATACTCCTAAACGCTTTTTGTGCCTCAGCCAATACAGATGTAACCCCTTTGATAATTTGGCAATAATGCTGAAGCCCATTAGTATGGAACTATTTCCTCAAATGTGAAGATGAATGCCCTACTTTATATGTGGGGCAGAGTGAAATTGAGGATTGGAAAGATCTACGGTTTCTTCAATCTTCTTTGGGATTCCTCAAGCTTCAGGTCTTCTTCAAGCTTCAAACTGCTTTGAGTGCTTCTGGCTTCCACCTTTGAGAAGGAAGATGGATGAAGACAATCCCACTTTAGATTGCCAAAGGAAAAGACTCCAGAAAGACATGAAAGAAGTTGGCAGTCTCTATCATGTCACTATCTTCAGCTTGCTACACACTAGAGTCTTTGGGGAATTTCCCTTTAGGTGAGATTAAGTATTCTCTCTTTTAGCTGAGATGAGTTACCTTCCTTCCAATGGGAAAGTTCCTTCACTCTATTGTCTAGTGTATATATCCTTCTATGTATACGTTCTTTGACTTCTCTTTTACTACCAATTCAGATAAATGGGCTTTCTTTGCTAATCTTTATGTGTGTTCATTGTGAAATTGGTATTTGGTAGGAAAGGCATAAAAAGCCTTGGATATACACTGTGGTACTGTGGTATCTTCTTTCCCTCCCTAAATATGACAAAACAAATCAGAAATTAGATTAAATCACATCCCCTAGACTAATAACATTTAAGGAAACAGATACATATCATTCCAGCCAAGTATTCCTCTCTGAGGAAACCAGAGAGGTCTCCAACCCCAACCTTCTGTTTCCTATCCTGGCAGGAATGAAAGGCTGTCTTGTGGGGAGAAGAGACTAGTAAATCTCCTTGGATGGCACTGCCATAACACTTCCTGTGGATTCCTGGCATAGATGAAATGTTGGGCTTTGAAGAAGGGGCTATTGTTTTCATTTACTGAAACTATAAGTGCAATTTCCATTTTGGTAAATTCCTAAGCAGAATAAATATTTGTATTAACCATAGTTTAATTTAATCCTTTTCACTTATATATGAGTTAATTAATCATTTTCTTTGAAGTATAGCTGCTTGTAGCTTCATAAATTTGTGTGCCAAAAATTCAACAAACTTTTTTCCCTTTAAAACTTTGTCACAAGGCTTTCTCCTTTCTCTCTCTCTCTCCCCACGTAGTTTCTATCACAGTCATTCTCAGGATATTTATTGATGTCCAAGATGAACACTGCCCATCCTGAGATGACTGCTACCTCCCAAGGACATTCATTGTATATAATATTTAGTTTAATTTGAAGAACTAGCCTATTATAGGTTTGCCTCCCCCAGCAACAAGCTCTCACATCTGAGGCTTCTGAGAGTCTTAAATATGTACCATAACAGAATTATCTCAAAGAATGGAAAAGATATGAATATGTGCCCTGGCTTATTAGAGTTCTTAAATTTTCAAGAACACTCAGAGAATCAGGGCCTCACTGACAAGGAGGTGAGAAGCAGAGCCTTTTCTTTATAAGAGCAATTCAGCCTCAAATTACATTGCTGCCAAAGACTTATCATGCAACCTTCACATAGATACTGGTGCTAGTATTAGAACAAAGAAAGCTGGCAGAGTAATAGGCCCATAATGCAAAAAATATCCAAAAGGGAACTAGAAGCTTTCATGCTCCCTATAATCACCATTAATACAAGATCTGGCCAGCTATAAAACTCATTTCCTTCAATAACTCACATCTTTCAATAAACTTTATTGAAATATAAGTGATTTATGTGTTGTTTTGTTTTCACCCCTTTCAATGGCATTTACCATATAACTATACATTTAAGAAAGCATTTTCTGCTAAATATTGAGGAATGGACAGGAGAACCTGATCACCTTTCTAATCCTTGCACTTATGCCCAGAAACAAAGGAATTTACTGACACACCCACAAAAAATGGCAAATGCATAAAAGAATTTTTAAAAGGCATCCAAAGACAAAATGATTCAATTTCTTCTTAAGAGCCAAAGAAATAGCTTGTGCGACAGAGAACTGTAGGCCGACCTTACTCAGAAATCTTACGAGCAGCTTGAATTTCACCATTTACTAACTGATGTGAATCAAACGATACAATGAAGGAAACAAAAAAGTCTAGAAACCACTTCAACCAATGAGCATGTGTCTCCTTGCCAAGGGAAGCTTGGCAAGAATAACACTGTTTTAGAATATAAACACATTTGTAAAACTTTACAAAGACACAAACATACTGTAAAATCAAGATCTTGTGACCAAGAGAACTGCAAACTATCAAAATGTTACATGAATATGTACAGAATGTACAGAAATATGTAAGCATCCTCCAAATCAATAATAAGAGAAGTTAAAACTGAGGTTTTATCTGACAACGAACAAACTGGCAGATGATTAAAATACTTAGTACTGGAGAGGCTGTGAGAAAGTACGTTAATAGTTTTTGAAAATTTGCAATTATGAAAGGTAAATCACTAACCTGTTTATATCACTTGACCCAGCAATATCACCACTACATATTTATTTCAAAGTCAAATATAGAAAGAAATGCCCCATATATAAAAAAAAGATCTATGGTAGCACTTTTACAGTAGCAAAAATTGCAAGCAAAGTTTGCCCAACTACTGAGGAATATCTGACTGAATTGTATTATGAATTGTAACAATCTACCATGTGGTGCCATGGAAATGATGCATGAGAAACTACAAAAATATGAGAAGAGCTGTATGAACTGATGCAGTGAGGTAAACAGAGCCAGGAGGAAAATATACAATGATTATAAGTAAAAACATCAATGAAAGGCAGGTAAATTCTTATTAATTTTAATGATCAATATTGGCCCCAGATAACAGATAAAGAAAGATATTTCTCCTCAGCAGAGGAGAATTTTACATAAACTGTTAGACCAAGCCACAGTGTTGGTTGTTTAATGTGACTTTTTTTCATGTTAACAAGGGAGAGCAGTGTAGAGGGGTATATTAGAGATTAGTTGTGATGTTAACCCAAAAAAAAAGCAACATAATTTTTTTTAAATCTCATGGGGATGGTAAAACATTATAAACACTGTCACATCATTTTTTTTAAAAAAAGTAATACAAGGGGGTGGGAAGGTTTATAGAGAGTATAGTGAGAGAACCAACTAAGTAAAGTCATCCCAAGAGTATTTAAGGATGAACCTAAAAGAACTGACCACAAAAAAAAAAGCACAACATATTTTAAAATTTCTATAATAAGATCTTTTTTCGTGAATTACAGTGAAGCCACTACATTTGAACTAAGAAGAGAAATGGAGAGAAAGAGAGAGAGAGAGCTCCAACAGATGATGGATAATTAAAGTCTCACCATTTAAATATCATGCTGCTGTACCAGGTTTGTGATGTTTCCCAGTTCCTCATCTGTTTCTTCTTTCTGTCCAGGTGGTCTGTAGTATACTCCAATGACAATATTCTTTCTGTTCCTTCACCCTTCATGTATTCCCACTCTGGTATGTGGTTTTATCTTCTTAATATGCAATGATTTTCTACCACTACTCCTTTTATCTATCTTGTACCTTTTGAATGAAGAATACCTCTACCCAACTCCTTTTAGTTATGATTCCTATCCCATCAACAATTCTTAATGACAAACTTGCCAGAGCTAAAATTTGTCTAGCAGGTAGGTAGTGCAGTGGATAGAGTGCTGGGCCTGGAGGCAGGATGATTCATTTTCCTCAGTTCAAATCTGACCTCAGACACTTGCGACACTGGGCAAGTTACTTAACCCTGTTTGCCTCAGTTTCTTCATCTGTAAAATGAGCTGGAGAAGGAAATAGCAAACCACTCCAGTATCTTTTCCAAGAAAACCCCAAATGGGGTGATAAAATGTCAGACACGACTGAAAACCAACTGAACAATAAAATCTTCCTCCTTCAGTTAGGATAACTAATCTTGCTGGTTATCTATACTTTGTGCATCTGTGCACAGTCATAGAATTTAATCAACTCAATAAACTCCCAGATGTTAGGAAATGTGGGTTACTTATCTTTGTATAACTCAGAGGCTAGAATTGCACCTTTCCTATGATAAGGTATTTAATCAATGTTTGTTAAAATGAATTTTATTTAGTTCAATTTTTATTCAAAAGAGTTTTTATACTCTTTATTTTCAATATGAAGATATATGCATTGTAAACAAGGTGGTCACTTCCATTTAAAACGCCTGATACAATTTAAATGATGAATAATATTCTTAGCATTAATGGCAATAGTTCATTGTTACTGTTCCAATATACCAAATAGTACAACAGTGACCTGAAAAACCCAGTTAGCCCAATTTCCGACAAAGTGTACCTTTCAAATTAAAAAAACAATTACATGAAAGCACTGAGTAAGAAAAATAAGTTTTAAAGCTCTTTAAAAACAAAGCAATTTCAAGAGGCCAAGTAATCTAATTCTTCACATGGAACATATAAATGATCCAAGTAAGATGGTTGGTTTTGGGGATTTTTTTACATTCTTAGCTATCCCCAGAGCAAAAGATTAGATGATTTTTATGATAAATTTTTCTTTGGGGTTTTTGTAGGTTTCAAGAATTAAAAATAATAAAACTTAGCAACTCCTACATAATGAATTACATAACAAATGAAAATGACATACATACATCAGTACCATAGATCAGAAAATCACCAGTTAACGTGTGGCACAAAATTCTGTATTCATCAACTGTTGCTGGGAAAAGACGAGTTTCTCTTTCTTCTTGACCATCCAAAATTTCACTTTCTATCTAAAATATGAAATGAAATAATAATACAATGATACAGTAAATTAACTCTCTCTGAAAGAACATGGCTAGGCACGCTGCCAACATGGAAGAATGCTGTATTTAGCAAGCCACTGAATGAAAACTTATCTCGTGTGGTCTACCACTATTCTATTTAATTCTTTTACTCTGGCATATAACAAATTGATTCCACAGATTTTTCAAATCACCTACTGTAAACTCAGGCTCTCACTTCACCCGTCAGATGTGATATTCTGTCACACTTTGGACTCAATCTCGTCATTGAATTTACGTTCATGGGTTTTTTTCCCTTGCATCATCCCTTCCTTTTCCCCTCAGAAGGATTCTTTCCTTCCTATTGACTGTTCTCAATTACTCTACTAATTGGTCTCATAGAGTAGTACATGGACCCATGGTACCTGGAGCTCAAATTTCAAAAGTCGTGAAATTAGAAAAATCATAGATGGTAAAATATTAAGCACAAAAAATAAGACTTTCTTTTGTGACATGGATAATAATTTCAAAAAGATAGTGCAAATTAAGATACTGCATATTGTACTGAATAGCAGTAGTAATGCTTAAGATTATATAAGCAATAAGTAAATTGATCATTACTCTTAATACCAGAAAGCCAAAAGAAGAGTCTCAATAGATAAATTATTACACATTCTTCCTCAAAATTATCTTGATCATCAGTGCAGAAGGTAGGACCCAATCTTTATGTGGAAAGACTCTTGAGCAACAATATATTAAGGAAGTAAAGGAGACACAGAGATGCAGGAGGATAGCCATAAGGACATGATGTTTATGAAGCTAAGGGAGGAGAAATTATGTAGTAGAGAAGAGTGTTCTACCCTTTCTTCTCCTGTTACCTATCTGGCTGCTCCTTCTCAGCCTCCTTTGCTGAATCACCATCCACATCTCATGTTACATATATGAATATATCCAAGGGCTCTATCCTAGGCCTTCTTTTTTCTTTACAAACTCTTTCTCCATGATCTCATCAGTTCCCATGGGTTCATCTACCACCTCTATGCAAATAACTCCCCAGAACTATATATGCAGCTCTATCTCTCTCTTGTGAGCTCTATTTCCATGGCCATCTCTAATTCAACATGTCCAAAACAGACCTTGTTATCTTTCCCCCAAAATCATTCCTTATTTTTAACTTCCCTATTTCTGGGAGATTACCACCATCCTTCCAGTTCCCCACCTTCACAACTTCAGTATCATCATCAATCATTCTCTCTCATTCACCTCCTTCAGATCATATGCTTTATTATCATCTTAACAATCCTACTTCCACAACATCTTTTAATTCCACCTCATCTCTCTACTCATAATGCCACTACCCTAGTTTTTTGGTCCTCATCACTTCATCCTTTGAACTTCATCCTTTTGAAGGAGCCATCTAATTGGGCCTCCAGGTTTCTCCATCTCCAATCCATCTTCCACACTGCTGACAAATTGATATTCCTAAAGCACAGGTTTGATCATCTCACTCTCCCATTCAAGAAGCATCAGTGGACTCCCTTTAAAGTTCTTCACAATCTAGCTCCAGCCTTCATCTCCAGGCTTATTGCATATTACTTTCCTTTACCTCTCTAAGTTCCAGTCAAACTGATTCACTCACTGTTTCCCACACATCATCTCTTATTTCCTATCTCCAAGCCTATTTGCACAAGCCAAGTCCCATGATAGGCTGTTAGTATGTATATGTAGTCTTATTCTTCTTTTGTGGTCACAAGTGATAAAAATTGCCTTGGCTAAACCAGAAAATGCAAAGCACTGGGTTAATTCTTCAATAATTGCAAGTAATGTGATAGCTTCAGAAGATAGCAAAGAGGTAATGGTGAATCAGTTAAAAATTTTGAGAATAGAAGGGAGTTAGTGAACAATAGATTCAGGTCTCTAAAGAAAACAGTAGAATGGGCTACATAATTATTGAACTACTCCATATTTGAGACAAGACAGGCAGCCTCAAATAGAATAAGAGCGAATGTTTGGGAGGAGGTATTTGGGTAAACCGCTTGCACCTAAGGAAGTAAAACAGAATGACTGGGATTAGGAGGTCAGTACAATAGGATGTAAACTTGTTTAGCAGGCTCCATTGGCAGAATTACCCAATAGAAAATTTGCAGAAGCCATTCCAGAGCACAAATATAGTGTATCCTTACCATGTGTAACTGAACTTTTCCCTCAAAGAGCACAGCAGCATAGTCAGAATTAAGACTCATACTAACAACGGTCCCCAGATATTCCATATCTTTCAGTTTTTTGACACCTATGTAAGTCAGGAAAAACAATTTAATAGTTTAAGTTTTACCTCCTCTATATACTAAGGATTACATAAGTCAACATTCAAAAAAATGAAACTGGTTTTTCCAGGTATAGTGACACATGACTAGCAAGGTCACTTTTTGGTTGCCCACTTGGTGATTTTGTTGTTTAAGAAGAATCTCCCCGATATCAATGAACATGAATAGTTTTCAAAATAGCTGCAAACTAGAAATTAGGTACTTATCAAACATTATACCAAGATATCAAACAGTATACCAAGATAAATTCCTAATGGATACATGTCTTAGACTTAAAAGATGATATCATAAACAAATTAGAAGAGCAAGGAAGAAATGACCTGTCAGATCTATGGATAGGGAAAGAGATCATGTTTACTAGAGCAAAAGGGAGGATCACAGAAGATACAATGAATAATTCTGATCATCTAAAATTTAAAAGCTTTCACAAACAATCTAATGCAGTTAAAATCAGAATGGAAATAATAGGAAAAATTTTTGCAAGTTTCTCTGATAAAGGGCCCATATCAGAGATAAATAAGAATAGATTTAAATTTGTAAGACTAAGACCTATTCCCCAGTAGACAAATAGTCAAATGATATCAACAGGCAGTTTTCAAAGGAAGAAATACAAACCAGGAAATGACCATATTAAAAATGTTCAAATCACTAATAATGAATGAGGGAAATGCAAATTAAGGCATCTCTGAGATGCTACCACACATTCATCAAATTAACAAAGATGACCAAAAAAAGGAAATGACAGCTGTTGGAGGGGCCATGGGAACCAAGCTTATTTGTGCACTGCTGGAGGTGCTGTGGGTTAGATCAGCCATTCTGGAAAGCTACAGGTAATTATGGTCCAAAAGTTACTAAACTATGTATGCCCTTTCACCCACCTAAACCCCTACAATGTTTTATACTCCAAAGAGATTTATTTATACAAAAATATTTATAGCAGCTCCTTTCATAGTAGTCAAAAACTGGAAACTAAGGCAGTACCCACATATTGAGGAATGACTAAACAAATTGTGGTATATGAACGTAGTTTCAGTCACTCAGAGTGCAAGCATTTATTAAGTACCTACTATATGCTAAGCACTGGGGGATATAAAGAAAGGCCAAAAAAATACTCACTTTCAAAGATCTCACAACTTACTGGGGGAATTAACATCCAAACAACCACAAACAAACAAGATACATACAGGATAAATTGAAGATAATCTCAGAAGGTATTTATTCTCAGTATTCTCAGCTCCAAACTCATTTACATTAAGAATCAGATAGCTGAATGTTATTTTTATTGGTTCTGCAGTTTAAAAATCTTTTGCACAAAAAAAAAAATCATAAGCTTTGAGCCCAGTGACACTGTGTTTGAATTTTAAAAGTTGTTTAACTGAGACACTAATGAGAAAAGAAGGGGAAAACCAGCAACAATTTATGAACAATATTTCTGAAATCAACAGTGACCTTTTGTAAAACCTGTACAAGTACAAATTGGCACATTGTATGGTACAAAAAAGGAACTGCAGAGTGTGCATAAAAATACCAATGGAGTCACCAGCCTATGCCTTGGCACTATTAGCTCTTACTAGATAGAGGCAGATTCCTTATGTTCAAGGGATCTTGTCTGATTTGTTACATCCTCTGCAGGGTGGCTAACTTATGCCTATAATTAAGGCAATCACTGGACCACAGTGGAAAAACCCCTCTAGGAAAAGGAGAGTACAGTCAAAATCAGGATCCAAGTAAAACAGAAACCAGAGGCTAGGAATCAGAATTCCTCAAGAATATCAGTTTAAAGGACTGAAATATATGACGGAAACCAAGGTTTCAAGGCAGAGAAGCCCATATAGAAAATATAATACCAAGAATGGCAACAAAATAGTAGTCTGATAGTCTTTCTTCCTCAAAGCCATAATTCTGTGGTCTTCTTTTTCACAAAATAGTAGTTGAAATAGAGAACCAGATGAATGCTGTCTTTCAATTTTCTTTAGAAAAGTCTCCTAGAGCTGCCTTTTCTATCCTAGTGAACAGTAGATCCATCCAGAAATTTGGGCTTCTGAGGCTAGCTTAACAGCAAAAACATATAGCCTATGTGGAGAAACTTCTGTGCCTCAACTACACTACAAATATCACCATAACTCTGACACTGGAGAGGAAGTTCTGGCTTAGAATCTGGATGGATGCAACACAGACCTGTTCTGGGCAATAACTCTGGCAGTGTTGAATGTGCTAGAATGTGACCTTCCCCAAACTACATTTAGTAACTTGATAAGACCAAATGATCCCCAAAACTTGGAAATGAAAAGAATAGGGTCCCTTTCAGGTAAGTATTTTTCACACTGTTTGCCCATGAAAACATAAAGATTTACTTTCCTGGATTTCTGTTCCAGACCAAAGCATTTTAATTACCTCTGAGGGAGATGATAGCATGTATTAAACACTTACTATATGCCAGGCACTGTGCTAAGCACTGGGGACAAAAAATAGGAAAATAAGATGGTCCCAACTCTCAAGGAGCTTACAAGGAAAGGCAACACATAAAAAAAAATAACTGGAAAGGGACATACACTCAACAGTACATAAGCATGCACGATAGTCCCTGCAGTTAAGAAGATCATGGGGCATTCAGGGAGCACCTCTGGTGTGAGGGCTTGCCGAGCGCCCTTTTCAAGACTGCTCATCCACCTTTGGTGTCCAATGTCACTCAACTCTTACCCGTAACACCAAGAAGCTATAGCATGCACAATGGCCATACTCCAGTAAAACCATCTCAGCAAATGAGCTAAACCAGAGTGAGTGTAAGCAATAAGCCTCAACACCGGCCCCCCCCAAGGAGGGATATCTACCCCAAGCATATGAAGACTTCCCCTAGAGGAACAGGCAGATGAGAACAATTTGTTCCAAAGGCCATGAAGGTTATTAAAGTAGGCACCATGGAGCACTTAGAGCTTGGTCAGACACTGATGACACCAAAGTCATCCACTGTATCTCAGACCATTGCCACCATCCTGACTTTTGTCCTGCCACTGGGCTTTGACAACTCTGGGAGAGTGAGGCTGACGATTTCGTGCAACTCTGCCTCAATTAAATCCAATTCACGAGCAAGTCAAGATCCTCTTCAAAAATGAAGGACAAAAAATATTCAAATAGAGGAAAGCAACACAAAAAGGGGAGTTGTAAAGGTAAAGGAATGGGCAAGATAATATAAAAATGGCCAGGAAATGGCACAGACGTCTGGTCATAGGCAAGATAAGGCAAATGCCTCCCTATAAGAGTTCAACATCCAAAAGGCAGAGTCTAAGATTCTGGTTGGTGGAGATTAGGATAATGGCCAATGTGACAGCAGATGGTGTATAAATGGCCAAGAAGTGATATTTCACAAGCACTTAAAAGTGGGCAGCTAGGTGGTGCAGTGGATAAAGTGCCAGGCCTGGAATCAAGAAGACTTGAGTTCAAATCCAGCGTCAGATACTTACTAGTTTTGTGACCCTAGACAAGTCACTTAACCCTATTTGCCTCAGTTTCCTCATCTGTAAAACAAGCTGGAAAAGGAAATGGTAAAGCACTCTAGTATCTTTGCCAAGAAAATCCCAAATAGAATCACAAAGAGTCAGACATGACTGAAACAACCTAACAACAACAAAAAGAAGTAGGAATCACTAACAGCCAGCATGGCTTCATTAAGAATAAGTTATACCAAGTGGATTTCAGAAAAACCTAGAAAGACTTACATAAAGATGCTAAGTGAATTAAGCAGAACCAGGAGAACATTGTACACAGTAACAGCAACATTGTACGATGACCAACTGTGATAGATTTAACTCTTCTCAGCAATGCAATGATCTAAGACAATTCCAAAAGACTTATGATGGAAAATGCTATCCACATCCAGAGAATAAACTATGGAGTCTGAATGCAGATCGAAGTATACCATTTCCTCTTTTTTCTGTTGTTTTTTCTTTCTTGAGGTTTTTCCCTTTGGTTCTGATTCTTCTTTACATGACTAATGTGAAAACATGTTTAATAAGACTGTACAAGTATAGCCTATATCAGATTGCAAGCTGCCTTGGGTAGGAAGGAAGGAAGGGAGGAAGAAAAAATTTAGAACTCAAAATCTTATAAAAGTAAATGCTGAAAACTAAAAATTAATTAATTAAAATTTTTTTAAAAAGGAAATTTTAAAAATAAGTTATGCCAGCCAAATAATTTCATTTTGGAGTAAAGTTATTATAATGATAGTGAAAACATCTGGGAGTTTGGGGTAGACTGCAATTTCAAAACAAATCAACAGTAAAATATAGCAATCCAAAAAGCTAGTACTATCATAGCCTTTACTAAATGAAGTATAGGTCCAGAACAAGGGAGGTGACAGTCCTAGGATACTCCTTCCTAGTCACTGTGTTCAGTTCTGGACACCACCTTTTAGGAGGAACTAAAGCATATACAGAGGAAGGTCTATGAAGACTGAATACAGGAAATATAAATGTTTGTTTTTGAGAAGATTCATCAGGTACATGATAGCTATGTTTATGTATTATAAAGGCTATCATGTAGAAGGCAGCCTTAAGTTCTACTTGCCTCCAGAGAGCAGAACTAGCAGCAGGGAATGGAATTTCGAGAAAAGTCATTAGGACTCAATGTGAGAAAAACTGCCTAACAATAAGATTTATCCAAAAGTAAAACAGTCTCCCTCAGGAATTGATAGTTTCCTCTTCATTTAAGAGTTTCCAAGGGAAAGCTGAATAAGCATTTATCAGCTATGTCAAATTTGCAAAGGGACTGTTGTTCTCATACAGGCTGGACTAGATGTCCTTGAGTTCTCTTTCCACCCTGAGTTTCTGTGATTCTAGAGATTCTTCTATCTTCTGTGCCCCACACAATGTAGCACCCTGGGCACCTAGCTATCTTTCCCATGGCTTCAAAAGCAATGAATTACATTCATTAATTCTTAGGAAGAATAATGGCATAGGCAATACAGGTCCACATTGCTTGACTTCACAAGATATTCGAGGGTTTCATATTTAGTTGCCTATTTAACACTTAATCTTGCTACTGAGATTGGCAGAATTATGTCTGCATACATACTAACTAATTTTAGATGAATCAAAGTCTAGAAAAATCTTTCTTAGTACAGCAATACTGGCAAATAAGGAACACAGTAAATAAAAAATGAACTTTAGCTCCTTAAAGATGATAACCACACATATGTCATAATAAGATCATTTGTATTAAATGGCCCAATATTCATCAAATTAAAGAGGCAGAATCAATTCTATATTTACCTGTGTCTCCTAGTGCATAAAACCAGGCTCTGTTATTCATCCCAACAGCCAAATGAAAAAGGCCTACTGCAATAAAGGTAGGTTCCACTTCAACAGAAACAGTGACTGGTAGCTCCTATAAAAATAATTAGTCTTATTTATTAGAACTTTTGGAGATCTATCACTTTAAATAAAATTGAAATATCATACAGTTTTCGTACTCCTTCAACAGGGTTGGTTACAGTTACTTCAAGGAGAGAGGTAAGGTAAGCAATCCGAGTACTAAAAGTGTCTCCAAGCACTGGAAGTTTTGTCAGGAAAACATGGAGCGAGCCTCGTTGTGTAGCCACTGCCAACAATTGTCCATCATCTGTCCAAGACATACAACCTAAACCTAAGATATTAAAAAAACATTTTGTGAAAAACAAAACCATGCACAGACATATAAATTTTTCTTCAGAAAAAAAATACTCAAAATAACTAAAAATTAATCACTTTGCAACTATATATTTTAATTTTGAATTTAATCTTAGATTGCTCATTTGATTTTATAAGCATACTAGACTAAATGATTTCTAACATTTCTATGTCTAGCTTTTAAAAACTTCTGCCCTAATATTCCTATTAACAGTACTCATAAGTGAACTAAATGATAAAATAAAAGAAATGGAAACTAGCCATAAAACATCTAAAAGGCATTCTTTCATCATTCATTCTACATTCATAGTAACAATATATATTCAATAAATATAATAGTCTTTCATTGAGACAGAAATTGAACATTTTATAAGTTATATTTTTACTTGTCTTTCAAAAGTACAGTATATGCAACTGCAATATGAAATGAAAAAGTCATTTCCTAATGTCAGTAAACAACAATCATTCCAATTAATATGGCAAAAATAAATAGAGGTAATACATGGTTCAGTTTATTTTAACAGTTTTTAAATAATTAGAAAAATATAATAAGCTAGAAAAAGAGGTACTTAAAATGTGTGCATGAACTTAATGATTATATGGTGATTTTAATACAGCAGTTATTCCCTATCTGAAACATGAATGTCCCCTATAATAGAGTGGACAAACACATGGCCCAGTGCAACAGGAACAAGTTTAAAACATAATTAAGACATATTTAACAAAATAAATAAAAATATAACACAGATAACATTGTGTTCTAATTCAATATGCTATCTGTAGTGATCCTTATGTACAATTTAGTAGCCTTGTTTCTATTTGCATTTGACACCACGGCTCTATAAAATTCCCAACAAGAGGTTATCCAGCTCTGCCTGAAAAACCTCTTACGCTCATTTACATGCCAGTTCATTCCACTTTGAGCCACTCTATTTGTTGGGATTTTTTTTTCTTTTATTGAGTCAAAACCTGTCCCCCAGTAACTTCTGAAGCACCAATCCTAATCTGTCCTTTAAAATTAAACAAAATAATTTGAATCTCTATTACATGATAACTATGCAAACATAATGATCAATCCTGCCCAAAAAAAATTTTTTTCTCCTTCCAGTGGAGTTTGTCAGAGTTAGGAACATATGTAATGATTTTTACTATCTGACAAATATTCTAATGTAAAAAGATAGGCTTACCCACCACCACCACAGCAACATCTAAATTAAAGTAAATTAAGTAATTTCCCTGGTATTCTCAGTCATTTATTCTCAGAACTCAGGCATAATTTAGTTGAAGTACTAAAGAAGATCCAAAGCTGAGTTATTCTGTCATAGGCAAAGAGGAAGATAAAGCTAACATTTCATAGCATTAATTTCATATTCCTAAAATAAATATGGGTCAGAAAAAAAACTGCCAAATCCAAAGACTATTTGTCAAAGTAAGGCCAAGCCATTGAAACATGCAATAAAAATAATTCTAGGGGCAGCTAGGTGGCGCAGTGGACAGAGCACCAGCCCTGAAGTCAGGAGGACCTGAGTTCAAATCTGACCTCACACCAAACACTTGACACTAGCTGTGTGACTCTGGGCAAGTCACTTAACCCCAATTGCCAAATAAACAAGTAAATAAATAAATAAATAATTCTACTCCATATTCCTTTACATTTATTATAAAAATCATTTAAGGAAGCACATGCAATGTAACCTGGAAATGCAATAATGTTAAAAACCAAAGGTTACATAATGTGATTATGAATCAATTTAGTTCAAAAGGAAATTGCCCCAAAAGGCCTAATACCATTCCTTCCCAAAACTGAAGCAAGGTATTATGTAGAATGGAAAATCAGATGAAAAATAGGAACCATGCTACAAATATTTTCAAAACAAAGGAGAGCCTAGTATTTTTCTTTAATCTAATAACCTCCTAATGTGAACCAATGTAAACCGCTAGGGAAAACAAAAGATAAATGGAGATAAGTTGATTTAGGTGAATAAATGTTCTTCCCCTAGGCATTTTCCTTCCAATGTGCTTTTAGCTACAATTTTTCTATTAAAAAAAACTAGTAAGATGAGAAGCTGTTACTATACCTTTATTTTCATCATCCAGATTTATTATGGCATACATTTCTTTCAATTCTGATAAATCATGGATTTTAATACTGAAATAAATAAGCAGTTATTAACTTTACTCAATACCATTTACCAAAAGGTTAGCCCCCACATGACTGATTTGCCACAATACATGAAAGAATTTTGATCTGTACCAAAACTCACCAAATCACAGGTCTTTCAAACTAATAACATAAAGGAATTTTCATTATTACCACATCAAGTGATCAACTAAATAGAAGACTGACAAGAAGATAACAACTAAATAGACCAACAAGAAAAATGGAAAATCAAGAAAAGGGTCACTATTAATTACTTAGATTTAAATATTAACCTCATAAGTAACCCTGTCAGTCTAAAACACTGCTAAAATTATTGAAATGAGATTTCTAAAAGGTATATAAAAGCAAAAGCTATATTTCATTGTGAATTAAAGTATCACAGAAAAGAATGTGAAACTTTCTAGATATAACATAAACAAAGGCAAAATGAAGTGGACTTAGTATACAATTATCCAGATAATTTCCCAAAATGACAATTAAACAGAAGTGAAAGCATCTTTCTTTTTATTTTAATTATCCAGAATGGTTATTTATTTTGCTATTTGTCAAACTTCAGAGTCAGAATCCTTGGGAAAGTTGGGAGTGACAATAAATCCCTTTTTCTGGGATTTTTGCTAATTCTAAATTAATATGTAGCAATAACTATGACAAATTTTATTTCATGAGGAAAATTATTTAAATACCTTTTCAGTGAAATTTTTGGTAAGTCCAAATGTGGTGTTTAATATAAAAACATACCATTTTAGTATAATTAAAATAATTTGACTGCTACCTACCAGCTGTCTCCACATGATGCAGCTTTATTTAATGACTGAGATATTGCAATGTTGGTTAGGTTATCTTTATGGTCACGAATTTGAAAGGTTTCTTGACCAATTTCTTGAAAATGTGTTGAAATAACCACAACATACCCATGTGAAAAACCAATCATGATGTAGCCATCACCAAACCTGAAGTAAAAATGAATATTAAGTATGCAACACAAAGGTAAATGTGCAGGGTTTTTTGCTTAGTTTTAAAATACAAGAGCAATACATCAATTCTATTATTCTCTACTGATTATCACTAAATATCTTATAAGATTAGGTTTTTATGGGGGCAGCTAGGTGGCGCAGTGGATAGAGCACCATCCCTGAAGTTGGGAGGACCTGAGTTCAAATCCGGCCTCAGACCAAACACTTGACACTTACTAGCTGTGTGACCCTAAGCAAGTCACTTAACCCCAATTGCCTAAAAAAAAAGAAAAAGATTAGGCTCCTAGCTATAGAGCCTATGGATAGAGCTAAGATTAAATTAGCTTTTTTAATTCTACTATACGCAAAATCCTGTTTAAGCAATGCTTAACATACAAACATAAAATAATTCATACTAAATGACAAGGCTAGAATATTTCCATGTTGTTTCAAGCACCTCAGTATGTTCTACTGTACATGTTACATGAGATAGTCAGGTCCTGACCCTGGCTAGTGGTTGCAGAAGTGGAAAGGAAGGCATGAAAAGGATGAATTATGGCTGAGGAATTAACAGAACTTAGGAATTTAATCAATATGACGTGAACAAAGAGTAAGGGATGATTTTGAAGTAAGAGATTTTGACTATAAATAAAAGCATTCAAGACTGGGATAAAGAAACTATCTGATACAAAGCTGAGAAATGTTAACAATATAAAGGAATAAAATAGATTAAAGGAATATACCTTAGTAAAGAAGGGATTAAAATGTCTCTATTTGCATATGATTCAATGGCACAGCTACTGTTTTACCTAAGGTCACATAGGTAGCAATGTCAGAGGGAAGACTTAAACTCCACAGTCAGTATATGTTCTATTACACCATCTTGCCACCTTAGAGTCACAGAGAATGCTTGGGGAATTGAAAGGCTGAGTGACTTGCCCATCATCACAGTATATGTCAGAGGTAGGACCTGAACCAAGGTCTTCCTGATTTCTAGACTGGCCCACTACCCACTGACTCTTTAAAATCTTTTAATCTTATTTTTAAAAAATAGTAATTGCCACTTATGCATTAATAGCTGATGTAGAAAATGAGGATGTAGAGAAAGTCTTTGAAAAACTTAACAAGATCATCCAAATAATTAATATATTTTAATATTCTGTAACTTCAAAGAAAAATGGGCATAAGATAGAATATATATGTATGTTTACACATATTTATATATGAATTAATATTACAAAACATTTTTCATAATTAAAGCAACAGAGGCAAAGAGGTTTATAGCCAATACAGAAGTTTCACTTTTACACTTTAAAAATATTTTCTTCAAGAAGAGAGATGGGAGGTGCAGGACATGATAAAGCCCAAATAAAATCATTCTTTTAAATGAAATGTATTCTATTTTGACAGGAAATTATTAGTTTTTAAAAAACAAATAGATATGCCTACTGTGTGCTAGGAACTATTCTAAGCACTGGAGATACACATGTGAGCAAATCAGTCCTATTCTAAAAAGGAAGATAACACATAAAGGGAACTCAGGAGATGGGGGAGTTTGGGGGCAAAGTGATTAGAGGAGGAAGAGAACACATTAGTAAAGTCATGACTGACACCTTTTCTGAAATAGTGGCAGTCACCAATCAACAGAGTAGGCCTCAGGACATAGATTTCTCCAGGGGCAGCAAGTCATTTCTGAGTTAACCATCTGGGTACAGTCAAACCACTAAATTTTTGGAAAAAGAGATAAATCAATAATAAACTAGAAGAAAATAATTAACGAGTGTGGCACACAATTGAGTCAACTCCAACCTGACCTATTTAAATGAGCTGATACTGAAAGTGTTAAAAAAAAAACTGACATTGACACAGATTGTCACCATTTCTAAAGATGTTTAACTAAGGATATAAATCAATCACTAGGATGTTCGTAGGGATACATATCATCACTATAACAAAGTGACCAAAATAGCCTAGAAACTGCCTCAGCCAGCAAACATGATCTCCTTGCCATATGAAGACAAATGGCAGCCAGGGACAATACTAATTTAATAAAAACTCATCTTAAAGATTGGAGGACAGTGGAAGACTGAGCAATATTGCCTTATAAAATCAAAAGAAATAGCAGACAAACAAGGTTATGAAAAGCTGGACGAGACACCCAACTAAGTCAAAACATCATAAGAGCAGTTATAGACAAAAGTGGCCAACAAATATTTTAAAAATAGAAAATATTGTAAAATTTCTATAATCAATCAAAAAATATATTAAGCACCTACTATATTTCAAGAATTGTATTAGGAAGACTGCTTTGGATGCAAAGACAAAAATTAAATAGTCCTTGTCCTCAAGGAGTTAACATACATTGAAGAAGATAATATTTGTATGTATAAGGATACAGAACATATATGCAAAATAGAAACAAGGTGATTTTGCAGAGTGAGGAGGCATTAGCAACTGGGACCATCTAGGAAAGGCTTCATGTAGAAAGTGATACTTGAGCTGAGTTTTGAAGGAAATTAGGACTGATAAATAAGACAGAGGTAAGAAGGGTCATTCTAGGCATGGGAGACAGCTTCTGCAAAGATATGGAAACTAGATGAAATGTCATGTGTAAGGGACAGCAAGAAGGTCAGTTTGGTTGGACTGTAAGGTGCAAGAAGAAAAATAACATAAAATAAGGCTTGAAAGATAGGTTTTGTCCAGATTGTGGAAGGTTTTAAATAACAAAATCTTTCTTTCTATAAATGAGAGAGGAGTCACCACATTTGGATTCGATATCACAGGGCCCACAAGGCTACAAATATTTTTACAAGGAAATAAAAATGGCACTAAAGAAAAAAAAAGATAGGAAGAATACCTGGACTATACAGTGTATATTTAGGAATTCTGGGCTGGAAGGTAACATGATTTTAAGAGTATTAAGGGGTGAACTAACCCCTTACTGTACATCTGAGAGCAGGACACTAATGGTTTGAGGGCAACAGAAACTTAGACCTCTCTTTAAAACCCTAAAAGGTTGGCATTTTATAATATTTGTAACTACTACCTTATATTGGTAATTTTGCACTTCTATAAGATAAGAATATAAAAGCATCAAGTATATCTTCAATTAATTAAATTCACACAAATAAATATGATTTTAAATATTAAGAGTCCACTATGTATAAGACTCTGCAATGAGTTCTAGGGATACAAAGAACAAAACAGTTCCTGTTCTTAAGAGCTTACACTCTATTGATGGACACAGATAAGAAAATAAAGTCATTTCAGGAGCAAACCAAAACATTAAAAACTGGGACAATCAAGAAAAAATTCCTAAAGGAGAGGGGCACCTGAGTTGAGTCTTAAAGGAAGCTAGGACACTTAAGCATGAAAAAGTTTAAAAAAAAAAAGAGGAGTATTACAGTCATAGGTAACAGCTTATGAAAAGACATAGAGGTGGACTATGGAATGCTGAGTTCAGGAGCTAAAATACAGATCACTCTATCTAGAACATAGAGAGAAATACCTATTCTGAATATGCTGAGTTTGTGGAGATGTCCAAAAGGGAGTTGCTGATGTAAGACTACAGATTAGGGAGGGAAGTAAGGGCTAGATGTATTGAGTCATCTACATAAAAACAAATAGGTTTAGGAGGAATGAGGCAGAGGGAAAGACTGAAATGTAGGAGATTGTGATCAAAGAAAATATCAGAGTTTATAGAGCTTGTGGAAGTCACATAATTACAAGTGGTGATGAGATCAAAGTATGACTATCTCTACAGGCTGGGATGGAGTGAAGTTGGAAGTGACAGGAATTGAAGAGTCTGATGCACCAGGAAGCCAGAATGTCTGAAAGGATATCAACATGAATATTCAAGTCCCCAAGAATTTTAGCAAAGGTTGGCATGCAGAAGATAACTGTGGACTAGGCATTTACTTCCTTGGGGGAGAAAGGCCTGAGGCCCAGTATGCAACAGCAGTCAGGATCTGACTAGGATAATAGAGATAAATGGAATGAACCTCAACAAAGAAGTTGTTGAGCAATAAGTTCAAAGGGTGAATCTGGAAGTTAGAGTGAGGAACCAAAGGCAGGTTTAGTCTTCCTTCTGGCCATTTTTTGGAGGATATAAGTAAATGTACATCCAGTATGGAAGAAGAAAGACAGGGACACATGGAGGGTAGCCAGGTTTCCATGAATGTAAGAATAGGCTAAGCTGTCCTGAATGGGAAGTGAGTAAATGCAAAGTCAAACTATCTCACTATATCTAGCCAGCCCCAGGCCATGCTTCATATCCCATCCAATCATCCATTCCAAGCATCTTGCCATCAGCCCTTTTCCAGCTATGCTTAATCTCAGTGCTTTCCATATGAGACTTGTCCCAATTTATCCTGTATATATCTTGTTTGCCTGTTGTCTTCTCCATTAGACTGTGAGCTCCTTGAAAACAGGGAATGGTTTGGGTTTGGGGTTTTTTTGCCTTTCTTTATATTCCCAGTGTTCAGCATAGTGCTCACACGTAGTAAGCCTTTAATAAATGCTAGCTGACTTGATTTGACTTGCCTTGTTCCAAGGTGCATAACCCAATCCTCCTCCCTGCTTTTCATTACTTGCTATGAGAGTAACAACCAATTTAATACTCCTGGTCACTATTTCTTTAATTCCCCAGATAAAAACTGTCTTCCCTGGGCACCACTCCCTTTTAATGTTACCTCCCCATAATAGAATGCAAACTCATTGAGGTCAGGGACTATATCACGTCTGTATCTATATTCCCAATACCTGGTATAGTACTTGGCACAAAGTAGATGTTTAATAATTTTTCACTCATTTATACAATTGTGAAAAGAAGAGATCTAACATGAAAGGAAGTTTATTAATAAAAGAACATAGGTTCCAGAAAAGACTGTAAGAAGGCTCTCTCAAGGGACAGGGCTAAGGTTGATGGAAATGAACTGGATGTGGTAGCAAGAGAAGGCATTTTCACCTAAGTGACTCATAGCTCTGAATCACAGGAGAGGTAAAGGGGAAAAAAAGAGGTAGTTCGCTAGCCTTAGGATGGTTGATTTTCTCAGATTTCTCAATAAGCAATGGCGGCTCCTTTCTGAATCCATCTCAATGGTAATAAAGAGGGAGTCTCTGTTGTTTTCTTACTCCCCCCTATATCTGAGACTCTAGTCCTAGGATAGGTATAAATAGTTACTGAATGGTTATAGAAGATGAAGACTTGTTAATTTTCTCAATATTCCCAAATGAGCAATAATAGCACCTTTTTACCTCTTGGTGGTAAGAGCAAACTGAAGTATTGATTTTTTTAACTCTTGCCAATGATACAAAGGTACGAGAAGTGAATAGGCAAGCTTTGATAAGCAAAATTCCCCAGAAGAGTGTATCTTTACAGTTACACAGCTGACTGAATAGTGTAGAGTATAACAGACTGCACTGTGTTTGTTGACAATAACATTTGATGGTGGCGCAGTGGATAATACACCAGCCCTGGATTCAGGAGGACCTGAGTTCAAATCCGGACTCAGACACCTAACACTTACTATTTGTGTGACCCTGGGCAAGTCACTTAATCCCTACTGCCCAACCAAAAAAAAAAAACAAAAACAAAAAAAACAGACAATAACATTTGATTTCATAAAGCAAAACATTACCTTCAAGACTCTCCTCCCACAAAGTATCTGCCATCAACACCAAAATAATAAATGATTCCTTAAGATAGCTTTGTTTGATGACCCTATAATTATTAGTGTTAAATGAGACAGAAAACAGGGAGGTATATGCTTGACAAAGGTGTTTCTCACTGTCAATAAAGTTTGTTCAAGACAATTGTAAATTGAGCAGATATTCTCTATAGATGGTCAGATCATGCAGATGTTCCTGTTTTGGGACTGTGCCAACTATATAATCACTCAAAAGAATTAGGCCTGATTATCCATATAGAAAAAAAGGTCTATTATCCAGACTATAAATATAGTTAAATGGGAATCCATAAAACCGATCCACCAGGACATATAACTTTGCCAGATACTACTTGTGGACAATAGTCTACAAAATATTATGAATGAAGAGATGCACAGGAGAAGTGCCATAAAGGATATCATCAGATGGATGTATGACTGGAGAAGGAGGTAAGCTGATTATATAGAAAGAGTGAGGAATCAGCTGTGAAATGTCAAAGATCTAGAAGGACTCTCTGTCAAGGATTTGTATGGTGGTATAGTCACACAAGATGAGAATAATGTAATCTATACAGTTGTAGAACTACTGAGATTACAGAGCCAGTGATAGATCAAAAATAAGCTTAGTTGGGTAGGGAAAAACAAGTTCATAATCAAGAAAAGACATCATAACTTAGCAAAAAAATAGAGACAAGACTAGGACCTATGATTCCAACTGAAGAAGTAACTGAAGCGCTTAAAAAGTCAGTAAAAATAGTTCATTATCATGATGATGGTAATGACTTACCAATGATAACAAACAACATTGCCATAGTGCTGCTGGAATCCCAGATCAATTGAATTTTCTGGACAATTCACATTAAACAGAAACAAATTCTTCTTGCCAACCACCACACTTATCTGTCAATGGACAAAGTATTAGCAACCTAAATTATAAAACTTAACAAAATTAAACATTAACTAGTGGTATACAAAATTAATATAGGCTCAAAAACCATAAGACAATAACTTACTATAAAAATAATGCACTATGGGAGCCCAAGCAAAGACTAAGAGTCTTAGGTAATTAGCTGTTGTGCTAAGAAGTTAGGTAACTTCCTTAGAGTCACACATCCAGTAAGTGTGAGAGAGGGGATGAGAAGTCAAGTAGTCCTCACTCTGAGACTGGCTCTCTACCCACTGTATCACACTGCCTCTCACTGTATCTTACTAATTAGCAATAATAATAACAAAGTTCTTTTAACAACTCTAAACTCTTCTCTAAAACAACTCATCTTTTTAATACCTATATTCTACCAGTGTCACTGTATGGCTGCTAGTCACACAATATTATAGTCTCTGAAGTATTGAAGATGAGTATTATACAAGAACAATGGAGAGGTACTTGCTAGTTGTAAGTAGGCTGCAACATATCACAAGCCAGGATTATAGAAGAGAACTGGAGTAAATGAGATCCTCAAAGAAATGTACAAGCAAATGAGAAGGTCCTGATCAGAAGGCAAGAGTGAAGGACAACCCATAGACAGCAATATACTTCACTGGTCTCCTCAAGAGAAGTGAAGAGACTTCACTTCCCCACCACCATGCTGGTGGGATTCCTGGGGCTACATTTTGGGAGGATATGAACAGAAGCCATACAAGATATGTCTAGGTTGTGGTCTTCATTATTGGAGGTAATAGTCACCATAGTGAAATCAGGGATCCACTTCAACAACTGAGACATTAGGGAGAGCCAGTGTGATAGAACAGAAGGCATGTTGGACTTAATATTACAATATCTGTGTCCTACGCCTGGCTCACTCAACCACTTACTTTCTATGTGATCTCTCTTAACCTCAACTTCTTCATCTGTAAAACTGAGACATTATTTACATAGCTTTCACAGGGTCATTATGAGAAAAGCACCTACAAGGAGGTGAACTGTTATAATGCCCAAGATATTTTTAATGCCAAAACACATCAGTATTTCAATAATTTAAAGGAGCTTTCACCTTTTAGGTATAAGTACTTCACAGATCATAATTCCTCCAAAGATCCTCAACATCTAGCAAATGGAGTAGTTGCAATGACCCAAAAAACAAGTGACTAACTTTCTGATAATGAATTTTTATGAAATCAGATACTCTAATTTTCAGATGATAAGAAATCCTTCACTAGTCCCTTACTCAAGGTCTTTCCAGCTTGTCCTTCAATGGAATAGCTTTTGAGAAGCTAGGATCTCTTCTATGCTATGATGAGACATTAGTGCAAAATCTTATTAAAGCATTTTTACCTCTATAATATTCAAAGATTATAATCAGTTATTATTGAAAAATATCATGTTTATGTGTATATAATTTGAAAATGTAAGCAGTATTTCTATGTTCATAAAAACTAAGAATGTGTAGCTATCCTATCCTTGCAAAAGGCTTTACCAAGATGAATAGGTAATGGCTGAAATAGGACAGGAAATATATAAAAGTATCTCCTCAACACTCTCCTATATATCTTTACTGAAATAAATTTCATTTAATGCTCATATAGAAGGCTTTATCATATAAGGAAAAGAGCCTGTGAGTCAGGAGACCTGGGCTCTGTTCTCAGTTTTGCCTCTAACTTGCTGTATGAACTTGGGCAAATTATTAATCTCCCCAATACTCAGTTTCCTCACTTTTCAAATGAAGGGCTCAACAGAATTATTTTATGTTGCCTTCTAGATCTAAAATTCTCTTTCACTCCTCAGTATCCCCATATGAAAATTACTATGTGAGGTGCTATCCGGAACAGAAAGATGTCTAAGATGTAGTTCCTGGTCTCATGGAGCTTACAACCTAATAGGGAAGATAATACATGTTCAGGAAGGGCTTTGACAATATCCATACACAAAAAGGCAACAACATAAGAATATCTTGATTTCAAACTGAGTTCTTACAGTATTTTCAGTTGTTATTGCTCTGTTTTCACTCCTCATCATTGAAAACTGCATATCACTAAGCTCTGTTTTCAAAAGAACCTAGAGAGAAAAATGCACAATAATTTTTTAAAATGTCTTGAATAATACATTTCAAACTTTAAAGTCAAATCAATTCTTTATTGAGTTTCTACTATACTGAAGATCCTGTGGAATATGACAAGAAGTAAGAAGAGACAATATCTTTGCCTCTCAAGGAGATTATGTCTAGTTGAAGAGTTCTAAAAACATCAAAAATCAAGTAACAACAGAAATTAATATTTAGATAATTTATTCATTATTTATTATAATGTATTATTTAGACAACTCAATACAACTGAAGAGATATATACAAAAGGAAATAAAGGATTAATTATCAGGATTAGAGACAGTAAGTGCAAAAGAACTTGCAAGAGCAATAAAACATTATTTGAAAGTGTTCAGGGATGATTGCATGGAATAGAAAATACCTGAGCTGAATATTCAAGGGTAGACAGGATTTGGTAGACAGAAAAGAAGGAAGGGAATTCTGAGCAGGGAAAAATAGATATCAATAACATATAAGTGGAAAAGTACAAGCTGTACTTGGAGAGACAGTTTGAAAACCAATTCAGTTAGAAACATGTAGGAGATAACATTGGAAAGCTATGCAGAAGTTCTATGGAATGTTCCAATTTTTGTCAAAGGTACTACCATCCTTTCAGGCACAAAGGCTCATAACCTCTGAATTATCCTCAGTTCCTCATTCTCCCCATATCCCATTAATTGCCAAATCATGTTTCTATCTCCACATCTATCAAATCTGTCATTTCCTCCCTGCTGCCTGTCCACACTTCAATACCTCCATCACAAAGCTGCCAAAGTGGTTTTCTTTAAGTATAGATCTGACCATATCACTCCCCTACTCAAGAAACTCCAGTAGATTCTTGTTGCTCCTAGCATAAAATAAAAACTGTTTGATTTTTTAAAGCCGTTTACATCCTAGCCCCAACTGTCATTAAGCATTTCAGCCTTATTATCATTACTCCTCTTCCCACACTCTATAATCCAGCCAAATTGGACTTCCCTTTGTTCCCAACAGACAATACTCTCTCTCATTTCCATGTATAATCACTGTACCTTTGTACTGGACATCCTCCAAGCCACACATTGTTCTAAGCACTAGGGATACACAAACTAGCAAGTCCCTGTCCTCAAGGAACTTATACTCTAATAAGGAAAGACAACATATAGAAAACATATATATATATATAGGGAGTGGTGATCAAAAAGAATTGTTTTGATTTGACTACTTATGGGATGACACAGCATGGAAGATGGAGAAAGAATACCCTGATGGGTCTGTATCCTGATTACCTGTAGCCAATGTTCACCAGTCAGAAGCCCAGTGTGCTACAGCAGAAGGTGGAATACTCAGATGGGTTTGAAATAGAGGCCAAAGTGCACAAGCATGGCAACATGAAGATGTTCAGGGTCTGGATGTGGATTCCATATGGTGGATACATTCCTTCCTTTCCTCTGTCACATAAAATTCCTCGCCATTTTCAAGATATACCTCAAGTGCCACTTTTACATAAAGCCCTTCTGATACCTCTAACTCCCTAATTATCCTGCATTTTGTTAACCTTGTATTTATTCTTTACACTTTCATTTATCTACTGTACATCTTGTCTTCCCTGATAAAATCTCCTTGAAATCAGAGACTATTTCATTTTTTTGCCCCTCTATACCCACAGTCAAGTATAGTGTGCTGAAGAAATGCTTACCAATTTACTGATCAATTGATCATTTCATGTTTCCCAGCATTTGGCAAATGACATGATCAAAATCCTGTTGGAGGGTATGTTTTAGAGTATAAGACTTAAATTCACCCCAACTAAATTTCATGTTAGATTCAGCCCAACAGTCTACCTTGTCAAGCTTATTCTTTTTAAGTTTTTTGATGGACTTTGTTTTTACACCACAATTACTTCCCCTTGTCCTTCTCCACTTCACTGAATAATCTCTTGCAACATAGAAAAATATCTAAGCCAAACCAGCAGGCATAGTAAACACATCTGACAATATCTGCCATAATCTATAACTGTAGCTTGAGGTAAGTTTGATCATCAGTTCTTTGAGATTAAGATTGATCATTATTATTAATTATTATTAATTATTATTAATTTACACGTATCAATTTGGAACTTATTATAATACGTGTGGAAAAGAATGGTTTTAAACTTAATTTCAGGGCAGCTAGATGGCGCAGTGGATAGAGCACCAGCCCTGGATTCAGGAGGACTTGAGCTCAAATCCGGCCTCAGACACATAACACATACTAGCTGTGTGACCCTGGGCAAGTCACTTAACCCCACTGCCTAGCCAAAAGAAAAAAAAACACCTTAATTTCTTTCAAAGTGCTTTCCAGTTTTTCTAGTTCTTTTCTAACAGAAAATACTTCACTTGTATTTTTCCATCTTATCAAACACTAGATAAATATATTCCATTGCTACTCAGTCTTGCTTATCTAATCTGCTCTGCTCCATTGATCCATTTTTTCTATTTTTAACCAGTTGTTTTTAACCAAATCTTTTGAGCTTATTATTTTATAAAATAGTTTGGGAATTAATACACTACCTTAATTTCAACTTTTTTCCATTATTTTCCTTGAGGTTCTAAACCTTTTGTTCTACCAAATGGATTTTGCTATTTTGCCTAGTTTTAGAAAGTAACCCCCTTAACAGTCTGATTTGTCTGTCACTAACTCAGTATATTAATTTAAGTAAATTTTACTCAATTTTCTTATAATAGCCTAAGGATGGACAATGAATTTCTCTTAGATTCTTTGTCCTCACATATTTTTGTGAAAAACATTTTGTAGTAGTATTCAACTAATAATTTACAGATAAGGAAATTAAGGCATGAGAGGTTAAGTAACTTGTCCAGAGTCACACAGATAGTAAGTGTCTGATGTAGTATTTAAACTCAGGTCTTCCTAAGTCCAGAATTCTACGATGCCATCTTTGTCAATACTATGTTTTGGTATTACAGATAATACTAGTTCTTAGCTTAAGAAATATACATATGAGCACATGAAAGGCACACCTATGATTTTTAGACTCTATAACATAAATCAGTACGGTATTTTGAACTTTTCCTGAAACTATTTATATAATCATAGGGCTTTTTTTGTTTTCCTAATGCTGAACTATCCCTGATTCCTGGCTATAAATATAATCACAGTGAATAATTTTTGATATATTACTAGTCTTTTTGCTAAAATTATACGTAAAATTTTTGAACAAATGGTCATTAATAATAATGGTCTAGAGTTCTATATCTCTTTTTACCCATCATTGGTTTGGACTTCAGGACCATTTTTGTCCCATATAACTTTAGTCAAATGCCTTCTTTTTGGTCATTTAAAAATTGCATCTGTATAGAGCTTTAAGGTTTACAAAACACTATACATATATATGAATGTATATATGTATGTATATATATCACATATATATAATGTCCTTTAAGTTTTCAGTATTGCTGGTAAATAATTATGGACAGTAGTTTCAGATAATTACTTATTTATTTTCTATTGGCTATGAATTCACCATGTAAATTTTTTATTTTGGTAATCTGATTTTTCTCACTTTTAAAAAAATCAAATTAACTAAAAATGGTATAGCAATGTTGCTAGTCTTTAAAAAAATAGCTCTTAGGAGAAACCTCCCCCCAACTCCCCTGCAGAGGTGGGAGGACCAAGGATATAGGAATATTGCATATTTTTCAGATTTTTTTCCAACATATTGATTTTGATTATTTTTTCCTCTTCTTTTTCTTTAACAAAAAAAACCCTGTTATATGGGGTGGCCCTTTGGGAAAGGAGGAGGGGAAGGAAACAAAGGGGAAATCTGGACAATGTAAAAACAAAAGAATATAAAATTTTAAATATTCATTATTTGCAATTCCTAAAATCTTTGTTTTCTATTTTAGTTATTTCTCCTCTGATTTTAAAGGTTTTTTCCTTTTGTGCCTATTTGGGTTTATTGATTTTCAAAATTTTTTTAAGTGTATGCTTCATTCCTTAATCCTCTCCTTTTCTATTCTGTTGCTGTATGTTTCTGAGGACTACTTTAGCTGAATCTCCATAATTCTGGCATACTCCTGCATTCATTTTCTTTTACATTTCTACTCATTGTTTCTAACTATTTATACTTTGACCTATTCTTTGTTTAGGATGTCATTTAGTTTTCTATTTTTTTGCTTATATTCCCTAGATGAATTGATAATAGATTTGGAGCCTGACTCAGAGTCTCGAAGACCTGGGTTCAAGCCCCACCTTTCACAAATAATGGCTCTATGACCCAGGACAAATCACCTAACTTCTAAGTGTTGTAAGCCAGAGTTCTTAAACAAGCCACGGCTGCACTGGGGCTGGCAAAATTCCCAAGTGAGAAAGAAAAGATTCAAATATAGATGGGAAACATTTAACAAAATAAATAAAAATATAATAGAACACAGATGTTAATATGTGGTTTTCAACATTGGTTATGTGGCCAGCAGGGATCCCTATGAACAGTTTAATGGTTCCCACTTCTTTTTGAGTTTGACATCAACTACTCTAAGCAATTCTCAAAGACAGTTGCAGAGAATTGTGTCAAGATGCATTGGTGAGTTTCCTCAGTCAGGAGTTCACTATACAGATGAAATCACCTATCTACTTGCCTCCCTTTTTCTGATTTGAGACTCTTACTAAGTAGGACAGTAGTATTAGAAAAACACAAGTTCTGTATAAACCAAAGCTACTGACCCTGAGGATAGGATGCGCAGAGATAACTTGAGAATTATTGGCTTTTCAGGAAAAAAAAAAGATAAAATGAAAAATCTGAATATCACACTTAAGCAAATAATACAACTAAATTACTAAGGAGTATTAAAAATGAACAGTTCAGAACTGATTCATAAGATCAATGACAGAAATTTTAGCCTTAAATCATATGAAGATAGTGGTTAAATTTAAGAATTTCAAGCCAAACAACAAATATTACTGGCAATCAAAAGAAAGATCTCTAGCTACTAAGGAA